TCTGGTGAGCACACACGCCCTATAGCGAAAATCTCTCTCAAAAAAAAATTATTTATTTAATTTTGTTTATTATTATTGATATTTTAAAATTTTTGCTATAGGGCACATGAGCTCACCAGAGAGAGGGAGAGGGAAACTGAGAGAGAGATGCAGAGAGAGAGGGAAACTGGGAAAGCAAACTGCCAGGTCTAGGACTCGAACTGTGGTCAGCCACATGGAAGTCAGCAGCTCAGTCACCACATCACCTGCTGGCCTCTAACAAAGTGACTCTTGCAGCTTCAATCTTATGAAACTGAGAGCAAGCTTCTTCTTTTTTTCCCCTATAGGGTGTATGTGCTTGCTCGAGAGAATGAGAAAGTTAGAAATCACCCACCACGCCACAGTTCCTTGTCCATTGTCTTCTTGGGATTTGGGACATGCATGCGCATGTGCCCAGCATGATTTTCAAGCTGCTGGGCCTGGGACTCGAACTGCACAGGCTGCCATGTGGGACCCAGAACCTTAATCTCCATGCCACCTGCTGGCCCGGGAGCAAGCATTTTTTCCATATGACTCCAGCAAAAGTCCTGGAGCCAAATTTGATTGGGTCATGTGACAGCACCCATAACCAGGAAATGGAATGTTCTGATTAGCCAAGCCTGAGAGCCATCTCCCCCCCTGAGCCATGGTGTTGGTCAGTGCCACCCGAACCAGCATTTCTCCACAGAACGGGATGCTGGGTAAGCCAACCTGCCTGCCACGCCCTGGTCACACAGCTCTGTCACCTGTGTGCGTGCTCACTTCTTTCATAACTATTTAAAAATTTTTGCCAGAGTGTGTACCTTCACGACAGAGAGACAGAGAGAAGAAAATGAGAAAGGGACATGGTCATGCCACAGTCCTTTCTCCTCCAATTTTCCCTCCTTTCTGGGTTTTTAAGCCACCAGATCCGAGACTCGAACTGCGCAGCTGGCCATATGGGGTTCTGCCTTAGCCCCCCATGCCACAAGCTGGCCACCTTTCATAGCTATCAGCTGAGCACCTGCTGTGTGCCAGGGGCAGTTCTCATGCTGTTCTAGGCTCCAGGGAGACCGCAGTGAACAAAAGAGAAGTCCCTCCACTCCTGGAGCCGGGGGTGGCGAGACAGCCGTAAGCAAGCAAGTGCACCCATGTCCTGCGGGCAGCGCTAAGTGGAGTGAGGGTTTGCTTGGAGGGCTCGGGGTCACTGGGACACTGAAGGGTGCATGCACACACCATGCAGGCACACACGCACACCCACTGTGTGCTACGATGCCCATGAGTCAGCCTGCCTGGGACTTACAGACCCTCCGTGTAGCCCTGGTCAAGTAACCTAGACTTCTGTGCTTTAGTTATCTCAAAAAAAAATTTTTTTTTTTTGTAGAGATTTTCACTGTAGGGCGCGTGCGCTCGCCAGACAGACAGAGAGAGACATTAGAGACAGAAAGCGAGAAATCACCCCCCAGGGGGGATGGTCACGCCGCAATCCCTTCTCCTCCATTCTCCTCTCGGGATCTTGGGCATGCACGCACACGCGCCCGGCGTGAGTTTTAAGCCACCGGGTCCGGGACACGAACCGCGGTCGACTACGTGGGAGTCCAGTGACATAGCCATTACGCTAACTGCTGGTTCCCCCCAAAAAAAATTTTTTTAAAGAATAATTTATTTATTTTATTTATTCATTCATTTATTTTAATTTGACCAGAAAGAAACAGAGAGAGAGAGAAAGAGAGAGAAAGTGAGACAGCAAGCCACCACCCCAGTCCAGGACTAGAACCACAGAAGACCTTGCAGGAGTATGTCCAGCACCTTAACCACCACACCACTGCTGGCCCCGAGTTATCTCAAAATTCTTAATAAAATGAAATGATTCGTTTAAAATATTATTTGTTTATTTATTTATTATTTTAATTTGACCAGAGAGATACAGAGAGAGACAGGGAAAGTGGGAAAGGAAGCCTCCAGGTCTAGGACTCAAACTGCAGACAGCCATGTACTAGTCCAGCATCTTCACCACGTCACCTGCCGGCCCCATTACATTAAATTCTTAATAACAGAATTCCCCCCATACGGTTACTGTGGGAACTAGAGAAGCCGGTATGGGGAACGTTTGGAAGCGTGTCTGGCACAGAATAGGAGCTCAGTAACGTCAGCCATCCCCACCACAGCCGCCGTCACCACCGTCCTTCCTGCTCTGCGCCGCTCTCCCCGTGGGGTGCACACACGTTTGCACACACGGCAGCAGCTCTCCCCTGCTCCCTCCTCTCAACACTCTCACAGTAAGGCCACACACCCCGTTGTATCGTTGGCCTGATCCAGAGTCTTCATCTCAGGCTTCTCCTTGTGACCCCAGGGTCTTGTGGTGCCTACTTCCGCTGCCGGAACAGCAGGTGCATCCCCCCGAGCCTGGTGTGTGACCGCTGGGGCGTGGACAACTGTGGTGATGGCAGTGACCAGGGCTCCTGCACAGGTCAGTGATGGGTGCAGCTGGGAGGGGGCCTGGCCCTGCCTTCCCCCCACCACCGGGGCAGGGTCCCGGGGAGAGGTGGGGGTGGGGCACTGCTGAGAGCTAGGTGAGAGAGACAAGCAGACCAAGGGCCTGAGGGTCAGCGGTTAGAGCAAGAACGAGCTAGGAATGCCCTAGCGTTGCCCTAATGAATGCCCTAATCCAGCGTCCCCAGATAGTGACCTAGAGGGCAAAACTCCTCCTGACTGGGATCTGGGACGCAGCCCCTTTCCTCCAGGGGAGGGATGGGGGCTGGCTCTGCACTGCTCTGCAGAGGTCAGATCCCACATGGTGACTATGACTTTTTTTTTTTTTTTTTTTTTTTGAGAGGTTTTTGCTATAGGGCATGTGCGCTCGCCAGAGAGACAGAGAGATAGAAAGCGAGAAATCACTCCCCAGGGGGGATGGCCACGCCGCAATCCCTTTTCCTCCATTCTCTTCTTGGGATCTTGGGCACGCACACACACGCACCCGGTGTGAGTTTAAGCCACCAGGTCTGGGACTTGAACCGCGGGTCGACTACATGGGAGTCCAGCAACATAGCCATTATGCTAACTGCTGGTCCTGGTGACCATGATTCTAATCTCCAGTCGAGTCAGCCTGAAACATGCCAGAGTGCCCAGGATCAAACCGGCTGGAGGGTTGGAGGGCTGGAGGGCAGGGGTCGCGGCGTGACCAGACCCTGTGGAAGATGCCCATCTCCCTCTCTATGACACGTGTGTGTACCCACTCTGTCACGAGTAAAGGAGAAGAGGAGAGACGCTGGCTAACTGGACATGGGGGCCTCAGCCTGGGCTGACCGATGCCCCTCTGCGGGCCCTGAGTGTCCCGTAAACACGGACCTGGAAAACCACGAATCCAGTCTGAGCCTTCATTTTATAGGCAGGAAATGACTTGCCCAAGGTCATAAAGCCAGCAAGTGATGTGAGCAGGAGTGATCTCTGCAGACGGGCAGGGGGTGGGGTGAGGTACGGGAATAAGGGGGACCAGAATTGACCACTGGGAATAACCTTCCGGGGGTTCCCAAAATCCAGAGTGGGATGGAGGCAGAGCTGCCAGGTACGGCCGAACGGGTTGTTCACTGCAAAAAGCACCTAGCTGCGAGAAGGCCCAGCCTCCAGGTCCCCACATGCTCACCTCCCAAGCCGCTTCTCAGCCCCTTCGAAGGTGCCTGGCTATTTCTCCAACACTCTATGCTCGGTGCCATGAGGCCCGTTCCTCTGTGCCCGTCTCCACCCCGCTCACTCCCTGGTCTCAGTCCCAGGCTAGCTGGACCCTGAACTCCGCTGTGTAGATCCTCCATCCGTGTAAGTGGCACGGTGAAGGTAAGTCCCAGCTCAGCCACGCTGCTGCACCCGCCCCTCGGCAGGCCCCCTCACTATGGCCATGGCCATGGCCACTTCACCTTCCAGGGGCTGGGGCCTGGACCGTGGAGGGAGTCACTTCACTGCTAGTTCCTCTCACGCACAACCCGGTCACCAGCAGACCTCGCACAGCTGCTCTGCTGCCCCTGGCCCAGCCGCTGCCAGCTTCTCTGGATTGCTGTGGTACCTCCAGAGCCGGTCTCCTGTCCCTGTTCTTTGCCCCTCTAGTATATTCTTCCCATGGAAGTCTAGTGGAACTTTCTTTCTTCCTTTTAATAAACTTGATTGGGGCCAGCAGGTACCGGACTCCCTCATGGTCAACCACAGTTCGACTCCTAGACCTGGAGGGTTGAAATACACCAGGTGCATGTGTGTGTGCCCCAAATTCCAGAATGGAGAAGGGACTGCAGCATGGCCATCCCCCTTGGGGGGTGTCTCTCTCTCTCTGTCTCTCCAGCAAGGGCACATGCCCTATAGCAAAAATTTCTTAAGAAAAAAAGAAACTGTTTTTATGTATTCAATTTTTTTTTTTTTTATTCAAGATGGAGCACGTGAGCCTGCATGAGAAAGACAGAGTCGGAGTGAGAGACCCACCTCAGGGTCTGGTCAAGCCATGGTCCTCTCCGCCCTCCAGCCTGTCGGACCTTGGACACGCCCAGTGTGATCCAGGTGGCCTGGCCTGGAGATTTGAACTGTTGCTGTGTGGGATCCAGCTTTGCCTGAGCAGTGCATTGCTGCCGTGCCCTGAAACTGGCCTATAAACTTTATATTTTTAGAGTAGTTTTAGAAAAAGAATTGAGAAAACAACAATAAAAAAAAAAATAGGAGAGAGAGAAAGGCTGGCCCATGACCTAGTGGTTAAGGGGACTGGACCCCACAGGACAAACTGTGGTTCAAACCCTGGCCTTAGGAACTTGCAAACCGCGTTAGTTACATGGGGATACGGCCCAAATCCCGACAGGATGGAGACAGAGAAGGGATTGTGGTGTGACCACAGCCCATGTGGGGAAGGGGTGCTCTCTCCCTTTCCTTCTCTGGAGAGTAGTGTCTGTCGCTGTCTTTCTGTTTTTGCTATTGGGCGTGTGCACTTGCCAGAAACAGAATGAGAGAGAGAGAGTAGAAATCACCCCCTTGGGGGATGACCACACCGTAATCCCTTCTCCCCTATTCTCTCAGGATTTGGAGCATGTATGCGTATGCACTTGGTGTGATTTTCAAGCCACCGGGTGTGGGACTCGCACTGTGGAATCGGCCATGTGAGATCCAGTGCCTTAAATTCCATGCTACCTCCTGGTCTGACCTTGATTTTTTTTTTTTTAAGTTTTTTGTCTTAGGACACACGTGCTTACAGGGGTGGGGGAGAGTCAGAGACAGTGAGAGGGGAAGTGAGCAATTGCCCTGCATGTGGGCATGCATGCACAGGAGCCTGGCATGATATTGAGTCCACTGGGTCCAGGATTCGAACCGTGGTAGACCATGTGAGAGTCCAGTGACATACTGCTGTGCCATCTGCTGGCCCTTACCTTGATAGCTGTGAGGAGGAATGGTCAGCCCACTGTGGGAACTCATCTGTTTTCCTGACAAGACAGGAGCTACAGGTTGTCTAAAAATATAAAGTTTATAGGCCCACAGAGGTCACGTGCCATTTGCACCACGCTCTCGGAAGGTAACGCGCTGGACGTGGCTCGTGACTGTGGACACTGGCCTTGGTCACTGAGGTCAGTTGGTCTCTCCACTGCCTCCCCTTTCCATATGTACTCTTTGGAAGCCACCATGTGCAGCCCACGCTGGGAGGGAGTCATGCTTCCTCACCAGGAGGCCTTTAAAGCACTCCAGCCTGTGGCCTGGTGGTTGGGGAACTGGATCCCACATGGCCACTCATGATGTTTGAATCTCAGACCTGGCAGCTTGAGAAACACGTCAGATGCGTGTGTGTGCATGCCCCGCACCCCCAGATGAGGGAGACGTGGAGAAGGGATTGTGATGTGACCATCCCCTGGGAGGGCGCGGGAAGAGGGTGCTTCCTCCCTCCTCTCTCAAGAGTGTATGTGCTCTTTGGTCAAAACAGTGGTAGGGGCCGACAGGTGGCATGGTGGTTAGGGTGCTGGACTTCCACATGGCCAACTGTGGTTTGAATCCTGGACCTGGAGGCTTGCTTTCTCGCTCTACTTCTCTCTCAATCTGGTCAAACTGAAGAATAGTAATAAATAAATTAAATTAAATGAACAGTTCTTTTTTAAAAAAATAACCTTCATTAAATCATGTCTTGCCCAGAAGCCCCCACCGACTTCTCTCTCAAGGAAAGCAAAGCCTTCCAGAGGCCCAAAGGCCCTGCACGGCCTGGGCCTGCCGACTCCCACTTGCCGCAGCCCTCCCCATGCCAGCCTTGTCCTGCTGTCCGGCCTCTCTCTGCACTGGCTGTGTCCCCCTCCCCACCTGGAGGACTTTCCTTCGGAGCTGCAGGTTCACTCCTTTGGTCCTCATAGGTCTCTGCCTCTCTCTCACTCGGGAGGTTCTTTCCTGACCCCTTTGTGTAAAAATAGCAACCCATGTCCACCCACAGCTGAAGGGATAAACAAAAACGTGGTCTACTATACAATCCACTCTTGCAAAGGGAGGGGATTCTGACGCAGCTATGAGATAGACGAGCCTTGAGGACACCAAGCTAAGTGAAACAAGCTGGTCACAGAAAGACAAATTCTGTGTGCTTCCAACACGAAGCACCCCGTGTAGCTGGAGTCAGGGTAGAACATGGCTACCAGGAGGGGCCCGTGGAAGGGGAGTCATTGATTAATGGTGCTGTGGTCGCAGAAGGTGGTGATGGTTGCACAACGCATACACTTAATGCCACTGACTTACACACTTAAGTGGTAACGTGGTAAATGTTAGGGCCAGCAGGTGGCATAGTTAAGGCACTGGACTCCTACATGGTTGACCATGGTTTGAGTCTTGGACCCACGGCTTGAAAACCACATCAGCTGGGGACAGCAGACGGTGTAACGGTTACGTTGCTGGACTCCTACATAGTCGACTGAGGTTCGAGTCCTGGACCTGGCAGCTTAAAACACACTGGGCACATGAGCGTATGTGCCCAAGACACTGAGAGGGATGGACAAGGGATTGTGGCATGGCCATCTCCCCTGTAAGTTGATTTCTCACTGTCTGTGTCTTTCCAGTGAGTGCACGTGCCCTATAGCAAAAACCTCTCTCTAAAAACAATTAAAAAAAGAAAAGAAAAGAATAGTCACACTGGTGTGTGCGCACGCATGCCAAAAAGCCCTAGAGGAGGATGGAAAGGGGATTGTGGTGTGGCCATCCCACCTGGGGGTGATTTCTCTTTCCCCCTCTGTCTCTTTCTATCTCTCTGGTGAGTGCACATGTCCGATGGCAAAAACCTAATTAAAAAAAATGGTAACCATCTGTGCATTTTACTACCACCAAACAAAACGAACTGTCCCCCAGGTGACATGCCCTGTTCCTTGCTGGGTTTCCCCCATAACACCCATCCCCACGCGTCACACTGGGGTTTCTCCCCCCACGTTGTACTGTAAGTTCTGGAACTGCAGGTTCCATGAAGATATTTATGTCCATGTTTTTTTCTCTTAATTAATTAAATTAATTTATTTTAATTTGACCAGAGAGGTACAGAATGAGAAAGAGTGAGAGAGATGGAAAGTGAGAAAGCAAGCCACCAGGTCCATGACTTGAACTATGGTTAGGCCATGTGGGAGTCCAGCACCCTTAGCCACCACGCCACCTGCCAGCCCCTATGTCCATGTTGTCACCACTGTATCCTCCCAATCCCTAGAGCACTGTCTGGGGCAGACGCTTAAGAAATACTAGTCAAATGAGTGGAAGAACGAGGCTCTCAGGGCCCCAGTGTCCTTATCTGTAAAATGCGGGTGAAAACCCTAAGCTTTCGGATGGAGCTGTCCTGTGGGGAGAGCGCCTAGCACACGGCATGGTGCTTAGAGCACAGGCAAGGTCAATACATACAGTCTCCTCTTTATTTCCTCTTTATTGCCAGAAGGTGCATGTGCTTGAGAGTGAGCAAGTGAGAACCCGCTAATGGGGTGTGATCTTGCTATAATGCTTTTTCTCCATTTCTCCATTCTGTCAAGATTTGGGGCATGCATATACACTGGTATTTTTCAATCTGACTGGGCCAGGATTTGAACCACGGTCGGCCTCATAGGATCCTGATCCCTGCACCCAGGGCTTAGCCACTGCACCATGGGGCTGGCCTTCTCCCTTTTTTTCTTTTAGTTTGCTGTAGGGCACGTGAACTCCAAATGAGAGCAGGGGTTGGCGGCAAGAAAGCAGAGGTATGGCCATACCACAATCCCTTGTTTAGTCTCTCCTCGGGATTTTGGGCAAGCATGCAAATGCACCCAGCACATTTCTCAAACTGCCTGGTCCAGACCTTGAACTGAAGTCAGCCATGTGGATCCAGCTGCCTTAACCACCACACTGCTGCTGCCCCCTGCCACCTTAAGAAGTGGCTCCATTCATGGGACCAGCAGATGGCGTAATGGTTACATTGCTACAATCCCACATGGCTGACTGCAGTTCGAGTCCTGAATTGGCAGCCTGAAACTCATGCCAGGCATGTGTGCATGCGTGCCCCAAATCCTGAGAGAGTGGAGAAGGGACTGTGGCGTGGCCGTGCCCCCTGGAGGTGATTTCTCGCTTTCTGACTAAGTCTCTGTCTCTCTGGTGAGAGCATGTTCCCTATAGCACAAATGTCTCTTTAAAAAAAAAAAAGAGAGCAGGGAACCAGCAGTTAGCGTAATGGCTATGTCGCTGGACTCCCACGTAGTTGACCGCGGTTCGTGTCCCGGACCCGGTGGCTTAAAACTCACGCCGGGCATGTGTGCGTGTGTGCCCAAGATCCTGAGAGGAGAATGGAGGAGAAGGGATTGCGGCGTGACCATCCCCTCT